CAATTTTAAATATGAAACAATTATCAATCTCAAATATGAAACAATTATCAATCTTAAATATGAAACAATTATCAATCTTAAATATGAAATAACTATCAATCTTAAATATGAAATAACTATCAATCTTAAATATGAAATAACTATCAATCTCAAATATAAAATAACTATCAATCTCAAATATAAAATAACTATCCATCTCAAATACGAAACAATTATCAAGCTTAAATATGAAATAACTATCAATCTCAAATACGAAACAATTATCAAACTTAAATATAAAATAACTATCCATCTCAAATACGAAACAATTATCAAGCTTAAATATGAAATAACTATCAATCTCAAATACGAAACATTTATCAAACTTAAATATAAAATAACTATCCATCTCAAATATGAAACAATTATTTTGTTAAACTAAACTAAAACACTTTACATTATTAGTTTTTATTAAAAGAAAAGTCTACTTGAATGTTGTTAACCACAAAACTACACGGGGCTATCTGTGCTATGGTCACAACAGGTATAGAAACCTAAAGTTTAGAGCAGAACCACTGGGGAGCAACAAAAGCTGACTTCGTAGCTATTCTGAAACAAGTGAAGCACTCCTCCCTATTTATCAATAATTAGTTGTTGTTTTGACTTCTCGTGCATTTCCTACCTGTAAAATATTCAACACTTTTCTGCGTAATTTTTCATTATAGCATTTTAGGACTATTTCTTCCCAGATATTTTTTTGTTTCTTCCCATCAGTACTTGACAAACTAGCGAACTGTAGTGTTAAAAAGACAATACTAAATACAGCACAAACCAGTATACTATGACGTTGCGCCGTGATGCGCAAAAATTTAATTGATCTCTCTCTCTCTCTCTTTAACAGATGCTGGCACCCGTAAGGAAATATAAACATATGATGTATACTCCTGAAACTTTGGGGGCGTGGTTAAGAAATACGTTCAGGTCGAACTGAAATGACATAAAAACACCTTTTCTGTGATAAGAACAAAAATTACAATCAAGAGGCTTCTTTCAAAGTGTAAGAGGAGGAAAACATAACCTGTTGTTCTCGTTAACCCAAGACACGAAACTACTAGTTCTACAGTCAGTGTTACAATGATAACTAGTTAGTTCTACAGTCAGTGTTACAATGATAACTAGTTAGTTCTACAGTCAGTGTTACAATGATAACTAGTTAGTTCTACAGTCGGTGTTACAATGATAACTAGTTAGTTCTACAGTCGGTGTTACAATGATAACTAGTTAGTTCTACAGTCAGTACTACAATGATAACTAGTT